CCTAGGCTCATGGTATGGGGGGTTTCCGATAACGGCTTGAACTGGTAAGAGAGGCATCCTCCGTGAAGTCCGCGTAATGTTAAACCCTGGCCATGTCAGGACTTTGAGGCTTTGGACCTCTCTCGAAATCCCTACAGCCGACCAAGGACTATTATCGGATACGCTCGACGGACGCCTTGCCACCTACCGAAGGCCTTTCGGCGATCGGGTTTCAGCTTGATAGGAAGCGAAGAGGGAGAGGAGCAATCAGAGCAAGCATAGAAAAAAGAGTACCGAGAGCGATGGGGCATTAGGCAGCGAGCAGCAAGCAGAGTAAACGCAGCTAGAGCTGTAGACTAGCATAGTCATTGCGGAAAGTCTGCGAAGGTTGGACTACTGATGACTGCCCGCGAGGGGAAGACACGCATCCTGGCGACCTTTAAGATCTGCAAAAGCTGGATTCTGAACGGCAGTCCCGGAAGTTTCCTAGCATTGCCATGTTGCAGATTGATCTATGTTTGTTTTCTTTGCTGTCATCATATGTCAGTCATTGTCATCACGACGCTGGTTTGTAGTACAGGAGTGGTCCGTTGAGTTGGGCAGGGGGTATGGTTACGTGTCAACCCGAGTCTTCAAGGCCGTCTGTGTGTTATGGAGCTCTTGACGTAAGGAACCCAGAAACGGACCCAAAGAACAGAAAGGCTAGCTCCCATCCCCAAACCCTAAACCCTAAACCCTAAACCCTAAACCCATCTACGGCCCAACAAAACGGGGGACACAGTTGTACCCCATCTCGAGCTGCGAGGTTGTCGGAAGTTTCAGTCACTGCCCCCGGGGCCCCGAGCATCTTGCTACTAGGGTTTAGGGTTTAGGGGCTTAGGGCTTAGGGTTTAGGGTTTAGGGTTTTGGCATACTGCTGACAAAAAAAAAGGGTTTTGGCATAGGCAGAGCCCAGGTGTAAGAGGGTTGCTAGCAGTTGCATGTGAAGGCATGTATCTGATGAGGCAGCTCCAGGGGTAGACTGCGGACCGCAAACCCCAAACTCTAAAGCTTCAGCCTTAAACCTAAAGGGTTAGGGTCTAGGGTTTAGGGCTAGAGCCTAAGGCATAAAGTTCTATACCCTAACCTTTTGTTGCAGTCCTGCAGCTCAGGGTTTGGCAAAAAGATGCTTAGCAATACTCTCCTAGGTTCCCTACAAAGCATACTACAGAAACCTCCTTATGGTTTAGGGTTTAGGGTTTAGGGTTTAGGAGCCCCGGTTCCTGGCATATGCGTAGTCCAGGTGTAAAAGGGTTTAGGAGCCCATGTCTATTCCGAAGAAAAATTGCAACAAAGGCGACCAGACCCTAAAGTTGAAAAAAAACGCCAAAACACTGAACTCCGAGGCAAAAGCCCTGAACTCCAGGAACCAAGGGAGCCAGGGTAGACCCTACATCCCCAAACCCCTCAACAGGAGCGCTGACGCCTCAAACCCTACACTTTGCCCTAAACCTTAAACCCAAGGCTAGACCCCTAAACCCTAAACCCTAAACTCTAGATCCTGAACCCTAAACATGGGGTTGTCAAGCTTGCAGTCACTCCGACGTCTAGAGCCACACGAGCTCGCCTTCGCACCTGCATCAACCTCGCCTGCATTGTCCGAGAGCCCTAAACCCTAAGCCCCAAACCCGGGAGAGTTACGACATGAGAGTTTCAGAAAGTTAGGGGTACCTTATTTTGGGGTCCTTATAATAGGGATCCTATTATTTAGGGTACTATGTTAGGGTCCCCTATTTTCGGAAACCCCCACATGAGTGTGAGGCAGGTGTGATGCACATCTGCTGAAGCGCTGGACATTTTGCTCGTCAGGAGAGTTCTTGCCTAGATGCTTCAAGCATGTAGTGTACTGAGTGAGTTTCAAGGGAGTACAATGGGTCTCTGGGTCTAGTTGCTGTCGTCTGGGATCCTCGCCTGACCTGGTCGAGCGCGAGTGAAAAAAGCCCCAAACCCCGAAAGCCCTAAAGCCCTAGACCCTAAACCCCTGAAGCCCTAAAGCCCTAAAGCCGTAAACCCTAAAGCCCTAAACCCCTAAAGCCTTAGCCTTAAGCCATAAACCCTAAACCCTAAACCCTAAACCCTAAACCCTAAAACCCTCTAGCCTAAAGCCTACAGCCCTAAACCTGGTTCAGCCCCCAAGGTCCCTGCCCGCCTTACGAGCTCTTCTGGAGCCCGAGGTAATCCTGGAGGACTTCCGGGTCTTTGGGGTTGTCGGGTTTAGGGCTTGAGGGTTTGGGGTTCAGGGTTTAGGGTTCAGTGGTTTTGGGGCTTTAGGGTTTAGGGTTTTTAGGATATGAAACACAGAGGCTGTTGGATTCAATTTGCGGTTTCTGCAGAAGAGCAGAGCAGATAGATAGCAGTAGTGTGTGGTGTAGTATAGTGTAGTTTTGGGCACAGGTTTATTGTTTTTTTTTTGCGGGACAGAGGGTTGGGTACGCGTTTAAGGCCTCGGGTTTAATTGTCCGGGCTTGCCAAGTAGTTTTGAATGTGTTGTCCCACCGTCCCTGAATAGTTCACTCCTGCACATAAGAGAGCTCCAGGCTGAGAAACTGGATTTGAGGGTTTAGCTTTGGGGGGTTCAGGCTTAAGAGATCTAGGGTCGAAGGGCCTTGGGTTTTGGTGTTTGGGGGTGTGATTTCGGATTCATGGTTTCAGGCTTCTACCATTCCACCCATCATTTAAACTGTGGGGCTCCGTGCAAGGTTGTTGCATGAATTCAGGATAGTTTGGGTTTTGGGGTTTAAGCTTCTGAGGGTCCTAAACCCTAAACCCCAGACCCTAAATCCTAAACCCTAAATCGAGGGCTTTACGACTTTAGGATTCGAGGCCTCTTTCAACACACTGCTTCTTCCTTGCGTGATGGGGGTTTGTGAGAAAAGAAGGGGCCGTAACATAGCCCGTATGGCCAGTAGTTTCCTTCATGTATATTGGCTCCGACCTCCAGGTACAGTGCCCCACAGATGATCAAGAACCCTCCCTGACAATAGCTGAATCCCTTTCTCCCTGGCAGTATCAGCTCGTAGTCTTCTTATATACTTCCAAAGTTACGGGAAGTAGACTAACAATCATACTACAATAACCCAAACCCTAAACCCTAAACCCTACATGCCAGCGTTTTCAACCATACAGAAGTGTAGCCCCACACCCTAGAGTCCAGGCCAGGCCCTGCCATTGTAAGACATTTCTACGCCGACCCCCCAAAAGGCCGCAAACGACTCCCCTCCGCTCAAGAAGGCTGGGTCGGAGAAACGGCTCAAGGGCTTTAGGGTTTACAGTCTTAGGGCCTTTGGGCTGTAGGGTTTTTCGGGTTAAGAGAAAGCTGTTGAGTCCGGAGCCCCTGGCTGCGTCGCGGCGCAGAGACTGCTGAGCCCGCGAGAGACACAGAGCCCTGGGCCCGATCACAATCCCAAGCTCGAAACGCTGAATCAGGGCCGAGTGGGGAACCAGCAACACGGATGGAGACTGTGGCCGGGGACGACGAGGGTGAGGACACCTTAGAGAGGGCCGCCGACGATGGACAAGGCAGGTGAAGATGAGTTGGAAAGGGACGAGATCCATGGGGCTAGCGCCTGTAGGGAGAACGTGGGTAAACGCAGAGACTGATACTTCTGGTGAGCATGGCGGTAGTGAGGCGAGCTGCGTTGCTGCACCGGAAGATGGCCTTCAAAAACAGCGAACTGGGAGGGGGAGCACCCGGAGGGAGCCTGTATATGAACCTTCCACGAACCTTACAGCCTTACAGCCCAAGCTTAGCTTGAACCGTGATCTTATATCTCCTGGACCCTGAGCCCCAAACTCCTTTCAAAGCCCATCAGACGCCTTGCCACAATCGTGTAGAAGTTTCTTGAAAAACCTATAAAGACACCCTACCAGGCCCCTGAGCTGTAAGCATCGCTGCCAGGATGAGGGCCAATCTAGCTCGGATGCCACAAGTGACGCGTAGGGTGGCAGGTGAACGCCAGTCGGCAGGTTCTTGCAGCTGTGACCTGCAATAGTCTCTACGCCCTAAATCCTAAAGCCGAAGCCCTGAGTGTTTAATGTGCCGGGCTTTCGGAAGTGGAAATCAGCGAGGGTTCAAGGGACAGAGAATGTAGTCGCGATAGGTTTCGGGCATGGCAAGAGGATCATGGGATTATGGTATCGTGTTAGCACGGTTTAAGGTTTCAAAGTCTAACTAGGGTGTACATAAATTGATAGGGCTCCACGACTTTAGGGCTAAAGGTTATCCAGGAGTATGCTCCAGGGGTGGGGCCACCTGTCAGACAGACGTTGATGCTGACTTGGGGATGTTTCGAGGCTAGGGTGGGTCTTCCGATTGGGCTGTGCCTGTGATGATGCTCCTTGTACAGCTGGAGCTTCACTACTAGCTTGGCATGAAGAGAGGAGGCATAGCTTGGACTTGAGCTCTGAACAGTATCCCGAAGCCTTACAGTACGGCCTAAACCCTAAACCCCTACGCCCATTTTCAGATCCCTGAGGTATAGAAGGCTTGATCCTAACAGCATCTTCAGACCTGTCAACCGTGGAAGCCTCAAGTCGGTGTTTCAAGCAGAGAGATGTCCCTTCATGCCGCGGACACGAGGCAGCTCTCGAAACCCCGAAGGTCAAACATTCCTTACGCCTGCGACCAACTACGATGATCATGGTGCCAAAGTGGGGTTGTCGCAGCACCAGCAGAACCAGCAGCAGGAGCAGAAGTCTTGATTCGTCGCAGAAGCAGAAGAATCATCAACGGCAGGAAATTGTGACGAGGAAGTAAAACATAAACAGCAAAGTTAGAGGCAACGCTGACGAAGCTTTTGGTTTCGTGATCTGCTTCGCTGCACGAGCCTTTGTGCCGGAGGATAAGCTTCCCGCTTGTGGTGCCGTAAAAGAGCGACCAGGGAGAGTGCCTGTTTGGGTTTCATGGACTTGAGGTCAAGGGGCCTTTACCCGAATGCTATATGAGCCTGCCCTCGATGGCCTTTGCCTTCCTTGCGTGCCAGGCATGGACAGCGGCTTCACAACCTTCGAGGCTCTACTCTAATGCTGGGACCATACGGAGCCTTTGGATTCGGGTCTTGAGGGTTTTGTACGGGGTCTGCTGGAGGGTTTGTGAGGGACTTCTCGGTGTTGTAAGGGTGTTGTAGGGTTGGTGGACTGTTTCGGACAGTTTGGTGGTTTGGTCGTGGCCGTAAGTTTCCTGATTCATCGCCCGCGCGAGTAGTGAAACAGGACTTTCTTGCGATTCCCTTTCGACATCTGAGCCACCAATTCATAAGCCCAGAAAGCCGGAAGCATGCCGATCCAACCCTGAACCCCAAGCGGTTAGCAGTAATTCTGGGCTGAAGTTCCGTACTTCCTCACCCGAAGCGATGCCCACTCGTGCCAGGCCAAGTGCATCCGCTTGATGCAGCCTGTGGATGCGAACCACTCGGCCTCAACCATAGGCAGGGTCCGATGCATTTGTCGTGCTAGCAGGGCCGCTCTTTCAATGATTCGAGATCGTTTACATCTCCTCCCGAAGCTTCAGACCCTACCGTTCCTACTTCTGTGTAAGGCCCCACAAAGACACATGGTAAAGGCCTAAACCCTCAACCCTGAAAGTCATGGTAGGCTGCGGTAGATTTCAGCCCTGGTTATCGTTGCGTTCCAACGCACCGGGGCACAAGGACTTGACCGTTGGGATGGCAACAGCTGGGTCGGGATCTCAGCTCTTCAGTTTAGTGCTCAGGATTTTAAACGGTTTGGGACGTGGTTCAAGGTTTGAGATTTAAACTGCGGGGTTGAGGGTTAGAGGGCTTATAGAGCTTGGGATTGATAGGGTTGAGGAATCGGTTTAGGAGTGATTCAGTGTTTGGGGTCGGGGTTTCAAGGAATGAGCAGATTGGGCTTGACTGCTTTGGGGTTGAGGGTGTGTACGGTTTCGGGTCTCCTGGTGGAATTTTTTCCTCCTGCGTGCCATGCCAGGTACTACCCGAGGCATGTCTTAGTTGATTGATGAAGTCGCCCCTTGAATTTCAACATCCCCAAAACTCAAAGCCCTGCAGTTTCCCTTTCGCCCCCATGCCACAGTTCAAGGATGAAAAAGCATCGGCAACATCCTAAACCCTAAACCCTAAACCCTAAACCCTAAATCCTAAACCTTAAGCCCTGAACCCTGAACCCTAAACCCTAAACCGTTGCGAGAGCGTAAACCTTAAATTCGACCCGAGACTGAAGCCCCGAAATAGCGCAGTCATGCCCCAGGTACGTGTCAAAACCTTCGTGAACACGGGAGGTGCGTGGCAACCTTCGCCGAAGCAGGGCTGCTTCGAGGGGCTTTTGGAATGTAAGTAGGTTTAGGTCAACTTTCGGTCCGAATCATGAACAGTAGTAGGGTTTAGGGTTTAGGGTTTCGGGCTTAGGGTTTAGGGTTTAGGGCTGGAGGGTTCGAAAGCTGGGTGGGCGGCGTCGATGGGAGGAGGTCGGGTTTAGAGGCTTTTTCGACGTCGCGAGTTGCATCTTTGATCCGCTCTTCCGGGTTCTCAGCCTTTCGGGGGTTCAGGATCCGCAGGACTTCGTGTGTCGGAGCGTTTGTTTTCAAAGTTTAGTCAAAAGGGGTGAGAGGTCAACCACAAGTTTTAACAGCACCTTCTGGCCCCAAACCTTTAGCCCTTATCTCCTAACCCCGAAAATCCTCAAAACCGTAAACCCTAAATCAAAAAATCTCAGCCCTAAGCCCCTCTAAACCCTAGAGCTCTTAAGCCCTCAACCCTAAAATACTGCACCCCCAAGCCCAAAACCCTAAACCGGCTGCTTTCCTTCCGCTTCCTCCGCCACCCGGAGGCGTGGAAGCCGACGGTCGGTTTCTGGACCGGGAAGATGCCTCCTCCTTTATACTATTATTGCTGAATGCTTAAGAACTTAAGGACCCTAAAGTATGGGAATTAAGGCAAATTCCTTATTCTGGGTAATGCAGGATTTATTTACATCAGCGACCGTAGGTTTCTGAGTGTTGTTATTGTTTATTGTTTATTTGTTTTTATTCGTGTTACTGTTGTTTCTATTGCTATCGTTATTGTGGATAGTATCATGATTATCACCATGCCTTATTATTTGCGATTATCATTGCCATTCATTTTTTTTTATTGTTGTTGTTATCAATGGCCGACATTATTATTTTAAGGATTAAGATAATGATTAAGATGGTTCTGATCATTGTATTTTGTGTTGTTGCCATCTTGGTTACAGTTATGGCTGTCATGTTTATCATTATGGTCATAGTGTTACCACAGTTTTTTTGATGTTTTTGTCGCTGTTCTTGTTGTGCTTTTTTTGTGATTATGATTCTGATGGGTAGTATTCGTATGATTATAGCCATTTACATGGTTTTCATGATGGCCATTGGGATTAAAATTATGATGCCTATCTCCATCGCCCTTTGATCCGCGGGGTTTACTGCGAGGCTTCCGGGTCTGACTCCCAAAATCTCTGAGCTCTGATGGGTTTTAGATTTGTGGGCCTTGGGCCTCGGGGCCTGGACACTGCTTCAGGGATGCAGGGTGGGCAGTTTGGGGTTTTATGGGGTTTAGAGTTAAGGGTTTTAGGGTTTGGGCTTGAAAGGTTTGCGGGCTTTAGGAACTTTAGGGCCGACCCAAGCAGAAACCTTCGCGAGGACCTGACTGTGGAGCCCAACTCCAAGTGGCGGCTGAAGCCCCTCTTAGCGGAGGTGCCTTGGGCTCATGATTGGGGTGTTGGGTTTGAGAAGATAGTGATGAAGCTATGCAGAGGTGCTGGTCTTGTTGAGGGTAATGATGACGACAATGATGGATCTGGGGGTGCTGACAGGTGACATGCCCGACTGCAGCTGAATGCTTAAGGGTTCCGAGCAGTTGAAGCACGATCTCCTATTCAAGTACGCAAGCTCGGATGTGAAGAACATGAGTTCATGATGTTTAATTCAGGCAGTTCGCATCAGAAGCTCTGCCAGCCATGTCTGCCGCGGACCTCGATCAGCCTGACAGGCTTAAGCAGAAGACCAAGAAGAACAAAATCATACCACAACCAGAGCCTCCCTCCACAGCCGCTGCTACGGATGCTTCGTCATCCACAGGGCTCGGCCCTCCTCAAGCTGGATGGACCGACCCAACCTCCCAGCCACCGGTATCCATTGCAAAGGGCAACAAAATCGCTCCGAGTGCCTTCGTGGAGGATGCAGGAATCGGCCCGAGTGAGCCCTCAACGCATCCTCTCGAGACTTGCAGTTCAACGACCTCGGAGCAGATTCACGAGGAGTTCTCCAGGCCCGAGCACATTCACGAGGAGTTTGTGCCGACCGAGGCCACGGAAGCGCAGCTTCAACCTCCTCGGGTTGGAGACGTGCCGGAGGACAGCTCCAGTCATGCACCTGTCCACGAGGATGGGAGGCCACATGAGCGCCCACTTGAACACGAAGAGCAGTCAGGAAGACCTTCCGTCCAAGAGACGAAGGCAGAATGGAAGCGTGACACCTGGACTGACGAGGACAGGGTTGAGCAGTAAACATCTTTTCGGGGAGGTGCTGGAACCAGGCTCCAGGGTTATGATTTGTTAGGATAGCCAGGGGTTTTGCCGAAGAGCTAGCTAGGACCAGGAGCCAAGAGAGCACGGTGCAAGTGAGGTGCGTTTCGGCGGCGTTTGCAGATCACAGCCTTCTTTGTTCTTCGTGCAGACCAGGTTCATTTCAGATCGATTTCAGGTGAGTTTGAGCGTGGTCGGGGATCGTGGAGTCGCCAGGGTCCTGGCACTCGTTTGGTTCAGAATGTGAAGGCTTGCAGGCCTACAGCTGACCGGCACAAGAAGCGGTGCGAGCTCAGGTCTTTGATGGACTCTGTTCTGTGATTTCGATTGTGTTTGCTCCGGGTTTCAGTTTCCGGGCTGCTACTTGGAGCCACAACGGGCGCCTTTGGAGCCACTTTTTTGTCATATATCGCTCTTCTTGGAGCCCGGCGGTTGCTTGCTGAGGGTTATGGTCCTATCCCAGAAACTGGAGCTCGCACCGCTTCTGTCGGTCAGCTTTAGGACGTTCTGTCTTCCAGGTTCCGACCCAAACCAGCGCCAGGACCGTGGCGACTCTGCGATCGCCGACCATGCCGAAACGTAATTGAACTGTACGTAAGCAGCACCTGACAGGCACTTGACACGCATTAGGGTTGTATCGAGCCTTGGTCTGAAATGCAACTGACACTCATCTCAGACGCACCGTTGCTTTCTTCCACGTATTCCGTATTCCGCACATTCTTATGCGAGGGGTCCGCAACGGCTAGCCTGCCAAAAGATGTTTGCCAACTGTTGGGTTCATAGAAAGCTCGCACAGTTCAACCATGCAGGAGTGGCAACGTTGGTATGCCCAGAAGCAGTACCCGAAGCAGCACAGGGAGTGGCAGAGACCTCAGCGAGACATGAGGTCCGGTTCTGGTGGGCCTCACTGGAGCTGGGCAAGCTATGTCCAAGTCTCGGCTGATGGGCTTCTCACCATTCGGTTGGCAAAGATGGGGCTTGATGAGCGCACAATACAAAGCTTTTGCTCATGGTTCCCCACAGAGCTACGTCGCTTGAAAGAGGCGAAGGTGCGCAAGCTCTACGTGTCCAGCGACGACATCGTGCTGGCTCATGAGGTGGACATTTCTCAGAATGACCTGAGCGATGAGGCCTTGAGGATCTTGCTCCTCACGTTGAGGCAGGCCAGGGTCGTCATCGGAGCCGCCAAGTTCTATCGAAACAAGTTCAGCTGCCGCAGTGCACAGCTTTTAGCGCAATGGGTCCGATCCGCACCATGGGCGATTTTCGAGCTGCACCTCTCACACAACCAAGTCAAGACCGCTGGTGCGCTCGAGCTTATCAAGGCAGTGGCAGAAAACAGGAGTTATCCATCCGCGCGACCGGGCAGCAAGAACTGGCCACTGCCGTTGTGGCTGCGGCTGGAATCCAATAACATCACCGATGTTCACGGCTTTGAACAGCAGGCCGAGATCTGCCTTCAGACCGCTCGACCGGAAGCTCGAGGCAAGCTGATCTGTTGGTGGGAACACAGGAATCGATGTGGGTGCAGAAGTGATAGCTGTGGCCACTCCACGGCAAACCACTGCCCAGTGCTTCACATTCCACGCTTGGGCCAGCCGGAGACAAGGAAGGAGGAAGAGAGCGCGCACCGAGGCCCACAAGATGGGATGGCAAACATATCCACAAAGGCCGAGCCGGAGGATGGTCCTACGGGTCACCATGTTTCATCTGTGGGGGATCTCCGCATGCTAACCTCGGAGGAGTGGGGCAAGATCCAGGACTCTTTCTCGGAAGCCGGACCGAGCAGCGCGACAGAATCGGCCCAGCTGGCACTCCAGGACAGGAATGAGGGATGAGCTTCGGTTCCTCTCTGACAAATTTGGGAGTTTCCGAAAAATAAGGGGTACCTTATTTTGGGGTCCTTATAGTAAGGATCCCATTATTTAGGGTACTATATTAGGATCCCCTATCTTCGGAAACCCCCATTTCAGTGTAGAGAGGCTCGGCACATGATCTGAGCCTGGTGCCGTGTGTTAGCGGCATTGTACAGGGACTGTTCGTCGAAAGCCTCGCCGTCAAAGTGCAAAGCTTGCATCCGGATGTGAGGCTCTTCGAGTTGGTAGCCCGTCATTCGGAGCATTCGGACATATTTCAAGCCTAAACCCTAAACTTCGTACCTTCTGCTTTCTTCTCTCTGTCAGATGTATCTGGGACTTGAGCCATCTCGCCTTCGATGGTCCTAATCCCAGTCCCTGCAGGCCCAAGATGCAGAAAAAGACAAAGCGAGAGAGGAGAACCTTAGGGTTTAGGGTCTAGGGTTTAGGGTGTAGGGCAGAAGATGCTAAAGATTCAGCCTCTCATGCAAATCGCTCACCCTGGAGCAGTGCCACCCGTTTGCAGCCTCAAGCTCAAATCGCCCGGCTCGCGGAGAATCCCGTGCTCAAAACACATGGCCAGTGCAAAATGTCATGCTCAAAATGCACCGATGCAAACCCTCAAACTCAACACACACGCATCACAGAGGGAAAACACACATGATGCAAAGTTTCGCACTAAAAACGCACGGCTGATCGAAGCATACAAAGCAGCGAGAGGCTCATGCCCAATCTCACTTTTGAAACACACCGACGCAAACTCTCGAACCCCAAACACATGGCCGATGCGAATCTTTAATTTCACTCTCAAGATGTACTAAAGCATAAACTCTATTCGATAACTGTACCAAGGAGTGCACCCACAAGGGTGCAAACAAGAACCTTGAGCCCTAAGCCTTAAACCCTCAACCGGGCATGGCTACCCAAACAGCGAAGCTTAGGCCAATTGGGATCCGTGGCCTATTGCGACGGAGTGGGCCGTCGCAGAGCTCGAGCTTTTCGATCCTCTGTCTCAATTGGGTCCGAGTTGTGAGAGTGTAACTGGGGGATTTCGAAACAGCGGATTTTCGGCTCGGTTTGGGATTTTGGGGGTCTAGCTGGCATGCTCTAGAAATTCGGACCGGTGGTGGTCTCTAAGGGGTGGCGTAAATCAATGCGAGTGAGTATGGGCTCAAGGGGGTTCATGGGGTTCGAAAGGTTTTGTAGAGTTTAAGACGTAGGGTCGATGGGTGCGGTGCTCGTTTGGGAGCCAGCGCGGAGGACGTTTTCGGAAGTTCAGGGTGTCACGGTGTGGATGGATGTGCACGGGTTACTGTAGGTTTTGGTGTGGTTTAAGGGTTAACTGCTCGGAGGTTTCGGTTTGTGTCTTCCGGGCCGAATTAGGCTAGGTTTGGTTTTCGGGATTCGGAATCTGTTTGAGAGCTGCTTCTTATCAAGGCACTATGAAGTAAGTCTAGCTTTCGTGCCTAGATGATCCAAGTTTTCGCAATCTTCTACGGAAGTAGTTTCTGTCCGATTTGGCAGGCCGTTGGGGATTGGGCTGTTTCTGTCGTGATGAGGGTGGCCTGTACAGGAAAAAGAACAGCCCCACCGCAGATCGGAATTGTCGGCATATGTCGGCGCATACCCGTCTTTCTACACCTGGATAGCAGCCTTATAGTACATTTTCGAAACTCTGTGCCCCAGCGCATCCAGTCCTTACATCGCCTTGAAGCCTTGCCAACCCTGAAGCCTGAGCACGAAACCTGAATGTGTTTAAAACCCCAAAACGATCAGACATCTTCTATATAGCCCGAAGTCTACTCTAAAGAATCCTCGGCCTCCATGGGTACTCTTGGGTCTAGAAGTCTGGGGTTCTTGGTTTAGGGATAAGGGTTCAGGGTTGAGGGCTTCGGGTAGATGAGGGTTTAGGGTTTAGGGTTTAGGGTGAGGGTTTAGGGTTCAGGGTTTAGGGTAGATGAGGCTTCCGGGTGCCGTGCATAAGACTCCAAACCTCGAAACTGCTAATGCCAGGCATCCAGCCTTCAACCGACTGGCGAGGGCAATCCTGCACTCTAAGAAATCCCTGAAGCCTTGCGATATGGGGGTTTCCGAAAATAGGGGACCCTTATATAGTACCCCAAATAGTAGGCTCCTTCTTATAAGGACCCGAAAATAAGGTCCCAATTTTTGGAAACTCCCATATGGGAACCAAAATCAACTAAGACTTAAATCCTCCTCTGAACCCAAAAGCCCTGCGCACCATCCACCCTTGATGAAGCCTTATAGAAACCCTCAGCGATAAACCCTGGAAGCTTTTCAGATTTTGTTAATCAGAACCTTTTTATGTCCTACAAACAAAATCCCAAACCCAAACAAAGCTCTTGAACCGAAACCCCAAGCCCGAAAACAAGTCTTTCACCTCAACCCCTAAACCCAACAACCGTATACAAGCCCTAAGCCCAAACCCCAAACCCGCGAGCCCCAAGCACAAACCTGGAGGACAACGTGGAGTGCCGGGACCCGCCGTTGGTCGCCCGCTTCAGCGGCTCTGGTTTCGTAGGAGCACCCCCGAAAGCCGATCTGCAAATTGGGGCCTTTGCTTTACTGCGTTCCAGCAGTACCCTTTTGCCTGTTTTGTGTATGGTACCCTTATCTAAGAGTCTATGGGGTTTAGGGTTGCATGACCTTGACAGCCAGTTGCAAAAGGGTTTATTCATAACAGTTCAAAAAAGAGGTTTCTGTACGGGTTTTGGCTTTCGGGCACTTTAGGGTTTAGTTGTAAAGGTTTGGTTTTGGACGATGCGGGCTCTATGGGCTCTGTGAGCTTTAGAGCTTCGCCTTAAGGGTTTATGGGAGCCGGGTTGCGGGTTACATGTTCCAGGGTTTATTTTAGCGGAAAAAATGGAGTTTAGGGGTTTGGTCCAGATTTCTTAAAGCACTTTGGAGGCTTCTCCAGGGGAGTCAAAAGGTTTTGAAGGGGTGTTTACGAGGAGTTGGAATGGTTATCAGGGGTGGTCCTGCCATTCCCAAATCGTTCGACCAACCACCGAGCCCGACCCATCTTACACATCTGGAGGGGGGTGCCGGGATTCGTAAAAAAGACATCAACGCAGAAGGAGATGGCGTGACGGCTTCCGATGCCGCCTTCGTCCCCAGCCGTGCCCAGGACAGTTTCGAATCTTCAGCCCCAGCCCCACAAAGCCCTGAAGACACGAGCCCACGGCCTTATTCCGGCAAAAGTAGCACGCTAGGTGGCCCCCCGAAGAAGCAAGGACCTTCAATAGCATTCCTCAGCATTCCGGGAGGTGCTCAGGACTTGTTGATGGAGTCGCCCAAAAAGAGACCATTGAAGCCATACCGGACATGTTTCAAGGCTGAAGCAGTTAGAGCCCGACTGCATTGGTGTTTTGAGTGTCTTTGGTATAATTAAATGTATTATTGCTAGTTCTATTATTGCAATGATTATTATTTGCATTATTATCATTGTTGTTATTGCTGTTATGATTATAAGTATACGGCCCTAAACCGTGCGGCCTTGTCAGCCTTTCTGCGCCACTGGCAGAGAGGATGGCGATCTGGCCACTGTGTGGGCCGCACCCTGCCCTTCCGGTGCGGCACGAAAGGGGGGGTCAACGGGTTCGTTTGGGGGTTCAGGGTGGCTCCAGAGTTTCAGGGTTTTCCAGCACCCACCCACTCCACTAGGCGTGGCCTGCGGTGCCGAGGGTGCCTGGCTCGAGGCCCAGCCCCTTGGCAGCTTTTCTCTTTCGGGTTTGGGGAGGTGAGACTTGAGGGGTACGGTAGCTAGACAGAATGTTCCACTACAGGCCCTATATAGTTTTTTAGCTATAGTGTAATGGTGTAGGCTAACTTTTGATTTTTGCCCAAAGCAGATAGAGCTGACTTCTGGTTTTAGGAAAATGAAGAAGCCCCACATATCCACACCCCAAAGCAAAGCAACGCCCGATCGGGCCCTTCAGAAAGGGAAGCCATTTGCTATCGGCTGTTCGGTTGACCCTCTTCCAGTCAAGAAGTGTTTAAACGAAATTGCAATGAATGGGATGAAACATCGCCATAGCAGTAATGCGCATCGATACTTGTCATGTGCCAAGAAAACGGAGCATGATAGCAATAGCAAGAGCAATGATGAGACAGTTCTCCGATCATCATCGTCACGCAAAACTCTGTGCCCTGAACCCAACCCGCTAATTATATAGATATATATAAGTAAACACAGATAGATATAAGCAAGTATCGAGAAATCGACCGCAGTTAATAAGGCATGATGGCCGTCAAGTTAAAAGCATTGGAAACATTTGGAAAGAGATAATCGGTGACAAGCTTAAAAAAAGAGGTTGCGCAATCTGAGAGCATTGGTTAATCGGTGGCAAACTCGAATACTCTGAACGTGTGATCTAGTATCAGCAACCCAAATATCCTGCATAATTGCGCCCTACTGCATAATTGCGCTTGTCAACTGTCAGATCTGGGAAAACACGGGCCGGTATTCCGGTGCACTCTTGAGATACTTACAAACAAACACACATACTTTTACACAAGTGAAAATACCCATCAACAAGTATAACACACTATGAAAATTATAAAGGAACATAAACAAATTGGAATGAATAGAAACAAATAACACACACGCACATATTTATACATATGTATATATGAATCAATATGAATACAAAACGGTTATAAGTAAATAAATACGAATAAAAATAAATAAGTAAACTGTGTATAAATAAATAAATATATGTATATATTTATGTATATTCAGATGTACGTGTGTATATATATATACACACGCATACACAAACAACTAGTTATGGATAAAGACAAATAGATAGATAACTAACTAACTAACTAACTAACTAACTAACTAACTAACTATCTAACTAACTAAAAAAACTAACTAACTAAAAAAACTAACTAACTAACTAACTAACTAACTAACTAACTAACTAACTAACTAACTAGCTAACTAACTAACTAACTAACTAAATAAATAAACAAATAAATTATATATATATATATACCTATATATATATATATAGATAGATATAAATATACTTATGTATATATATATATATGTATGTATATACAAGTATACTCAAATACAAACAAATATGAACAACAAGAAGGAAATATAAACACACAGAGATAAATATATTTAAGTATACATCATTGTAGCTAAATATTTAGATACGAAGGCGAATAAGTAGAAATACATACAAACAAACCCTCATAATGTACATCACTTTCAGCAAAGCAAAAAGAAGACATGCACACCCTTGGTATATATATATATATATGTATGTACATACATACATAAAGTTGAAAACCACTAAACACACAGCAAAAATAATTCCAGCAAATAAACACACACAAGTAGGGCATAACTGGATAGTTGCACACATTCAAAAGTACATACATACATACATACATACATACATACATACATACATACATACATACATATATGCATACATGCATACATGCATACATGCATACATGCATACATGCATACATACATCCATACA